AGGGTGCCCCGAGGACTGACGACTGTAGGGGAGCCCGGATAGGCGTCCACGTCGTCCAAGTCCAGACCATCAAGAATTTTGGACTGTGGGCCGGCAGTTCGGACATCTTTGTAGTAGTTGTCACGAACCTGTAGAACGGAGGCGAGACAGTGAGACAGGGTTTGCAGTAATGTCATTTCAAGTGTCTGGCAGTTAAGCATACAGAGGAAAAAGAATGAAAGTGGGAGTTATTATTAATAATGCTAACATTAATGACTTCAGATCCCGTGGAAAAAAGTATGTCCACAAAACAGAATACAGTCGCGCACGATCTTAACAACGGATCAGTTAAGAGACTCACTCGTCGCGTTCTGTTTTGGGGCTCACTTTCGAGTCCCGTTAGCAACCACAAAGCGGCTAGTATATTTTAGTCAGAATATTATTGCTGAATGTTTTTACCAAGAACTTGTTGTTACGGGAACAGTATAGCATAGCATACTAGAGTCCAATATAAGCAATGAATACGACCCGGAAATGCAGAGTCATTAAAACTAAAGCTGGAGGCGCGACTCAGAAATTGCCGTTTTTTGTTTCCCAGGTACATCTTCGAGGATGCAAAAGCACCTGGAATCATCGCGAATTCAGTGGTTTGTTAGCAAATCTTGTGCAGGTACGCAATGCCAGTAGTTTGCGCGAGATGGGCCTCGGATTATGAGCGGTTTCGTCTATATCCTTTCTCCACTATCCCCCGTACGAGTTGATATTTGTCTCATCTGTTCACTGGGTTTTATTTCGAATTGTCAATTGTTTTTCGAAGTTTTTTCGCAATACAGAGACTCAACCCCCTTATTCTTAACTTACAAGACACAGCATAAACCGCTCACACTTTTTACCTTTAAGAAACAACTATTCTAGATGCAAAATACAAGGATTCGCATGGAGCGCGTGCGTCTCAGATGCCGAGTCTATCAACGGAAACACTCGCCTCCTTACAGTTTACGGGGTCGCGCATCAGTACGTAAACAAATCCATAACAGAAAGGACGCGGTGCGCCTAAGAAATCGATTAGGGACAGGCTGACCATGAGCTTACCCTACAGCACAGCAGGGAAGCCATCCGGTCAAACAACAACCATGATGGCCAACAATGCAAACAGTTCTCGAACTCGTGAGGTATTAACCAGTGGGCCGAGGCGAAAACAGAACGGCCCAAGGCAGACTACTTCGGCACAATAGACACTGCAGTAAATACAAAGACAAGGGAGACCGGAACAGTCATTTCTGGCCTATTATTTGTCAGCAGCATACACTACTAGTGGTTGTGCAACCGCCTGCGAAGGCTCTAGATTTGCCCCAAGGCAAAACGGGACGAGTATGTCCTGTAAACAGATCGGTAAGCACCATTCTCTCATCACTAATATTCTCGACCACAACCGACAGGACAACGGGTTCGTGACACATTGGTAAAGCGCTCGATTAAATGACCAAGGATCGTGAGCTTGAATCACAGGCACTTGACACTTGGGACTGGCTAAGACTGGCTGATGACGGCAACCGGTGCTTTCTTAATTTTTAAGAATCTAAAAAACTGTCGAATTTCGGGGTGCTAACAGATACGGTCGGACATTCACTGCTCATCAGATCTTCGGTAGGGAATCCTTGTAACTATCAGGGTAGTTTAGCATGTACACGTAGACGGGAATTGCAGTAGGAAATAGACCTAGTTAATGCGCTTCGGAAACTGTCCCTTCGAATAGCGGAATTTAATAGCATCTTGAGTTGCGAATGCCGTCAACAACACGTGCTGCACGAGCGCATCACATAAAATGCGCTTTGGCCATCTAGTTAAGGCTGCAGAGCAGAATCCAAAGAATTCGGGGAAAACCGACAGAACAGAAAGCACAGGGTGCCTTAAGTCGCACGTACCTTTTTAAGGTTGGCCTGAAACTCTCTTGGATCAGAGCCCTGCGGCGCGAACTGGTGAGGATCCTCGCTGGCCAAAACTGTGCCACCAGTGGTCTTTTTACCGCCCTCAGTCCAATGCATAATCTTCTTGGGATTGGTTGTGCCAATCTCTTCGATTTCTTCACGTTGGTAGGCGTTGGGTGTGGTTTTCCAGTGCATGCGTTGCAGCGACAGGGTCTTGCGACGGTGCTCGGCGGCCATTTTCAACCTAAGACAGGTTGACAGACACGAGGAAGAGAAATATTAAAAACGGATATAAAAAACACAAAAGATAGTAACGGAAATTAAAAGTGACAGAAGAGCAGGTGAATAGAGTTTGAAAGTTCTAAAGAATCATAGATTTACTCGTTAATTTTTCATCTGCTAGCGGTATTTTGTCGTCGGATATTTACTAGAAACCCATGACCATCTGCCTTGCTGACTGCTGCCGCATTCAACTCCGTCCATCGTGACTCCCTTTGGCGGTTGTCGGCCCTACATGGTGTACCGCCGAAAATAATCGTCATGATCAAGATCTATTACCGTTCAACCATTGCCTGAGTTTTGGTTCATAACGAGTTCCCAACCGGCCAGTATTCGGTCAAGGTTATATCTTGTCACCCATTCTGTTCAACTACGGTACTGACTAGATTCTCGGGAAGACCCTACATGAAAATGGCGGTTTTGAGTTGGCACCCGGAGGTCGACTGACTGATGTCGACTACGCCATGGGTATCGCCTTACTAGCTTAGGGAACCACAGCAGACGCGTCTTCGTCGCGTTCCCACTCGCTATCACGGCTACCAAGGTCTGCTACACCAATCTCCCTACGGTGGATCTATCTCTCCTGCTCTCCATCTGTGTTTTTGATGACGGAGCAGCCCCTCCCGACCAGCTTGCTCCGACTCCTCCTCCTCCTCGCCCCCGGGATTGAGGCCCACCCGGCGGGGCTCCCAATCCAACAAGGGCTACTAGCCAGCCAGCCTTACTAATTTCAAATAATGGCGATTTGAAGTCTAGGGTGTCACGCGCTAAATTGGTCGGGTTATCCAAAAAAATACATTGGGTAGACCAGTGTTTTAAATTGCATCATTGACCGGGAGAAGGCACCTGTCGAGGTTAATGACTATCAGCTTGAAGAACAGACCAGTTTCAAATAACTCGGGGCGAAAATGCTGCCGAATGGAGAGATTAAGTGCGAAATTGTATCCCGAGTGGATGCCGCTCGTCGGTTTTAAAGCCTTGGAAATTGCCTATGGATCTGACGCGACATTTCTATCACTACAAGTATTCGCGTATCATGCGTCCGTCTGGTCTACCCTTTTCTATGGTTATGAAGATGTGCGAAAATTGGGGGTAATTAACCACCACTACTTGGGGACCATCCTTCGAGTGAAGTACGCCGACTTCGGCTAAAATAAGACAGCCTGCACTCGCTACGACAACATCGCAAGAATATCTAGGAAAGACAATTGGGGTTCGGGCACGTTCTTCGTCGCCCACCTCACGAGCTCAGTGTTACCGCCCTCGGTCCAAATAGAGGCGTCGAAGAGGGGGTCGGTTCAAAACCGAACTCCTGATTTCCGTTATAGTTTCCAATCCGATATCTAGAACGGCCACCGTGGATTACCACATCTGAATAGGTACAGTTGGAGACATCACTGAGGCCGGCTGGATCAAGCATGATGGCTGCCGTACAGGTCGTTGGACGAAATGGCTGGAAGGCGACCTTACTCCTCTTGTGTGCTGTCTTGCTCTCGGCTTGTCCCGTTATCATCGAGGGAGTCCGCTTATTCTGGTTTATGAATATGAAGCCTCAACACTGAAGAGGCTCTCGTATGTTAAAAAAAATAAGTTTCTGATTTTTACCTGAATTGACCTGTATAGTTGCAGAGGCTGTCAGTACATTGACTTTAAGGTAACAGGTTTCCTCGACCAGGCTTACATACGGTTTGCTCGTGCACCTAACATCCCTACAAACTAGCCACTCTACCATGACTCCAATGTTGAGGCTAAGAGATGGCCCACATCCTCTTAAATATGATGCGCAATGTTTCCAACTTTTCCTTTCCCCCAAAAAGATACACATTGTTATGGGGTTTTAGTAGATTTGCTTAATTTAGTTGACCCAATTGTGAAAAAACTCGCAGCCTCGGCGGGAGTTGAACCTACACAACAGGGACAGCTTTTGTGCAGCCAACGCTCTGCCTCGTAGCTCAATTGGTAGAGCGTTGGCTGCGCAAAAAAGCCTTCCCTGCTGTGCGGGTGTTCGGATGAAATATAAAAGATTAAAACCATTTATATAACAAATTCATAAAAGAACCGAAAAATCCCAGGAATACCCGAACCTCTTGTAAGAAAGGGTTACATTCGACTTTAGTCATACAATCGACCACAAAGTGCTGGATTTTTCAACAATCTTACAAAACCACTGCACTCGAACTGTTAATGCCAGCAATAAAGAATACGCACCTGGTAGGTCCATCAGTGTAGTAGTTGGTAGCAAATGAGGTAGCAGTCGGTGGCACTTCAATGTCCGGGTGCGGTCTACGTCCTAGGCTGGCGGATCGTCGTGAACGCAGTCCATCGGTCGCATCGCGGGA